TCACCACCACGCAGGTGGGACAGATACTCACCACCACGCAGGTGGGATAGATACTCACCACCACGCAGGTGGGACAGACACTCACCACCACGCAGGTGGGAAAGACGCTCCACGACTACCACATTGAATTATAGATGGTGATGTATATATATATATATATTGTAATAAGTATTTTACTTGTATATGTGCGTAACAGGAGTCCCGCCTCGTCTCTGGGGCAGTTCGTTCCACGCGTCCGCTCTACCTATATTTGAGCCAAAATGTAGCGCAGGGTGGAAATGATACCAAAAATTACATTAGACTTATACATCAATATATACACATAAGAGTTGAGAGTGCACTACGCTATATATATATACTTCAGCGTGCGCACACCAGTTCTTTTTTCCTTGAGTTATGATCTTCTCTATCGCGCGCGTGCTCCCTCAGCCAGGCGTAAGATGGTAGACACCGTGTCTAAACAGAAAATAATATCTCGCGCAATGTCACGAGTCTGCTGCAGCTTCGCCTCCTCGTGCAAGCGATGCAGGCATGGGGCCGCCACAAGCAGCATTTCTCTGAGAGCCGCGCGGGCCCCAGGTAAGAGATCTTCCACAGCCGCCAAGGGCTGTGGCGCTGTGCTCACGCCAACAAGGTCCGGACCTATTTCATATCCCTCATCCATGACCTTGCCCGCCGCAACGCGGAAAAGTAACAGAGGCTCAGTCGCCAACTGCTTGCCGCAGGTCTGTAGGATGCGCAAACAGAGGAGAGAGGTTACGCCCGTCTCTTCCTTCCCCCTCCGCACAACGTCCCAATGGATCTTGTGCTCCATCAACTCTAAATAGAGACTCCACTTCTCTCTGCACGTTTCCATCTCTATACGAACAGACCGCTTGAACCCAACCTTACGGAACGACATGTACAAACACATACGCGCACATACAATGCACAGACTTTTCCAAGGTACAAAACAATGCCACACGTCTCGCCGTATATATTTTTTCACTGACGCAGGTACGCAGTCCCCATTGAGAGCTTCTGCTCACGCTCAAAGTAGCTTTGCGCGGATCTTGAGCAGGCCCTACCCTTTCCCTGCTTCACATAGGGAATCAGCTTCTCGCAGATCAACGCGTGGTTGGTCTGGTCTGTGGATCCTATAATCATCCGCCACTTCGAATCCTGAGTATCCCAGTAGCGAATATAACTCTTGTCTCGGTAATATTCCGAACGACAAGATCCCCATGACTTTGCCTCGAAAGCAAAATTGGGCTTGTTTGCCTGCGGTGCAGCCTCCGCGCAAACCTTTGCAGGTTTGGCCATCGGCTTGGAGCTTGCCGGTCGCTTCATGCTTTTGCACTGCGCCGGACGCTTCATAGGACGCTCCTTCCAATCTGCGTCGGCCTCCTTCTGCCCGTCTCTCTTGTTCTTGCTCTGCAACGTCTCTGCGTTTGTGATGGCCTGGGATGTCTTCTCTTCGGAAGTGTGGCCAGTGATGGCAGACACCAACTTTTCCTCAGCCTCTTCGACCTGGTTGCCCTTCTCGGGTCGCTGGGCCTTGACCTCTTCGACCTTGTTGCCCTTCTCGGGTCCCAGAGAACTGGAAGCTCGTGGGGCCTTACCCTCTTCCTCTTCGGGTTTGTTCGCTTCGTTCCAAGGGCTGTCCATCAGAGCCTTCGCGGTCGCCACATGGGGAGTCCCACTCTCCAAAGCCCCTGCAGCCAGTCCGCTGGTCAGGCCCTGAGCTCGTCCGGCCTGGCGCTGCGGTGCCCGCATGTTTTGCGGAAACAATTGCAGGTTGTGTAGGCCCTGCGGTGGCTGTTGCACGTGTTGCAAAAGCTGCATAATAGCCATGCTCTGCGCAACCTGGTTCTGTGCAATCAAGTTGTTGCGAGGATTGTTCGGGTGCTCTGCGTGTGTCTGTCGCAGGCGCACCTGTGAAGCTTCTGCGGCCACAGCGTCCGCGCGAATCGGTCTCGACGCTGGGTCTGCTGGCCTCGTGCTCCCATGCGCGGCCTGGATCTCCTCTGGCAGATCTTCAAACCCGGCTGGCAAGCAAGGCAGTAGAGTGGTCGGATCCTTGTGCCACTTCTTCAACCTGGTGCATGTGCTGCGCCAGGTAGCTTTAAGCTCCTGTAGAAGCACATGAA